GGAAATCCTGATGCTGATACATATGTTTTTGGAAGCAAGGAACACTCTGATGCCCTCTGAGAGCTTCAGAACAGGTCTCAAAACATCACCCACTTTGCTTTAATTTCTTAAGCCAGCTGCCTCTCTCCATAAGAGCTCCATTTTATTCCCTCAGTACCCAAACTTTTGCAGAAACTGGCCAAATGGATTGCTGGAATGGAAAGGGAAAGGAATTCAAAGTTACTCTGCAAGGACAGCGTGGGGAGGGTGCAGAATTGCTGATTTTTCACACTGGCTGTGCTTTCAGTGCCCAGAATCTCCTGAGCCTGACAAAGCCTGCAGTGTCCCAGCCCCAGGGGCTGGGGCTGTGCAACACCAGCACTTCCCCAGCCTCAGGAGCCAGACCCCGCTGGAATTGTCTGTCCCAGCTCAGTCCAGCTCTAACAAGAGCAGTGGGAGTTTCAGCTGAGACAGCCTTCAGGATTTGGCCTATTTAATTTGTGACAAATACCACTCTGCAGGTCTTCTGCCTGCCAGATCCTGAGGGCTCTGTTTTTTGGAAGGAAAAAGGCACTTGTGTTTGTTGGGCTGTTTCTCTCCCACATCAATGCAGGTAATTATTTCCAGTGCACAGGTATTGGTAGGTCCAATGCACCCCTTGTCAGGTGTTCTGGGCAGTTCAGTGTGTGTTTGGATAAAATATAATTAAAGACAGCTTTTCTCTAAAAGATTTTGATACTTTCAGTTATCCTGAACAGAACCCTGGGTGTGAGAAAAGCCACTGGCAGCCCTGAGATGCTGCTAAGGGGATGGGGTGTCCCAGCAGTGACCAAACAGAACTGCCAGGACACAAAAAGTATCATTTATATGAAACATTTCTTATTTCAGTGCTTAGAACACCAAGTGGGGACCGACTGGAATCTGTGCCCAAAGAATTGGTTCTCTGAGGAACTTCCTAAATCACATTTTTCAATCCATTTGTCCAATAGACTCTATATAAAAACACATTTCAGTACATTAGAAATTCCAATAGTGCTCATTAAATCATTCAGGTGCTGTGAAATTGCTCCCATTATGCAAAGGCAGCCCTTGGCTTGGCAGTGGGTTTGATCTCAGGTGTGGGTCAGCTGGAACCAGCAAAAGGATGAGGGAGGCACCTCCTGAGGCTGATTCCCAGTGCCTGGAGGAATTGCTGAGCTGCCAGGAGCTCTGGGTTTCTGGCTCTGGAGCGAAAAACTGAGGCTCAGATTTCCTTTTTTAGCATTAGCAAGACTTTCCTGCAGCTCTTAGGCCGTGGTCAGTGGTCAGTCAGGAATTCTGAGGCTCTTGGAGTCTAAAGGGAACTTTAGAGAATCCAGAAGAATCCAAAGTCTGAGCTGTGGTGGTTCCCACTGGAGAGCTCAAGGGACAGGTTTGGTTTGTCACCTTTTCCTTTGCACCTGAGCGTGTTCCCTGCCCATCTGGGATGTTCTCTCTGCACTCCTGCTGCAGGGGAAGGAGGACAGAGCTGGAGCAGCCTTTGGAGGGAGCGCTGGGCTGTGAAATGCAGGGATTTGTGTTGCTTTGGGGAAGGAGACACACGAGAAATGCCCACACTGCTGGCTCTGCTGGTTCCTGCTCACCTGGCAGGGGCACATCACCCTCAACCCGGCCAGCAGCTCGCCCTGAGCAGCAGAAACACAAAATCCTTTAGGCAGGCTTAAAAAAAAAAAGCAACCACGTGAACATTAGGTTTATTTCTCCAGCAAAATCTGTTTCTTTCAGTCTTTCATTTGCTTCTCTTCTCAAGACTCAAGTCTTTATTTCAGACATCTGCCTATAGAAAATAAGTATCTTTTTTAAAGGGCACATTAAAAGATGAAAACTGAAGCTTGAATAACTTAATCAGCATACAAATTACACAGATATAAAAGTTCTGTTTCATTGTCTTAACTTACAGTTTATTTTGTACAGAATTCATTATGTTATACATCTAAGACTTATTATATTGTATAAATATCTGGGGTGTGATGTATATACATATCCAGTGTTATAATTCAGCAGTTAATGTATGCATTACATACACTATCGTGTATTTCAATGTAGTGCACATGATTTATATTCCATAAAAGAGCACATCCGCTATGAAAAATCAGCTTTTCATTCGTAGGGGTTTAATTCCACCTTGCAACACAAGGGTTTTCTCCATTTTATAATGGACTCTTTGCACGGTGTATGGCTGTAAGGTCTTGTTGTACATTCCCCAAGATGAGTTAAGAACCAGCAGCTCCAAACATGAACGTGGGAGGAGAGTGGGGCAGGGTCCCAGCCATCCCCAGGGGTGGGACAGGGTCCCTAAGGGATGGGAAGGGTCCCAGCCGTTCCCAGGAATGGGGCAGGGTCCCTAAGGGGTGAGGAAGGGTCCCTAAGGGATGGGGCAGGGTCCCTAAGGGATGGGAAGGGCACAGCCCCAGGGGTGGGACAGGGTCCCTAAAGGGTGGCTGGGCACTGGGGATGAACGAAACAAAAGGTTCTGCACATGTGAGAATTCCAGCTGCTCCTCCCTGCTCTCTGCCCCCCGGCTCAGGCTGGCAGGGGCTCAGGGCTCCAGCCCTGCCCCCTGTGCTCACGGGGCTGTTCCTGGGGGTCCCCCAGGGATGAGTTCACACCTCGAGAGCAGCAAAGCCCCCAAGGTGCTCTCTATGCACGCCCAAAATAAGAGATGATGTTTGTTTGGTATTAAATTACAGGTATTGCTTCCCTAGGCACCTACTGAAGCATAATTAATGCTAATTAATTGGACAGAACAGTTCCTATTTTTCAGGCAATTCTACTTTCCTGCATACATACTTACATACATACATTTTGTGCCTTTTGATCACTTGGCTACCATTGCTTTGTTCTCTCAAAAGCAGAGACTCTTTTATCAATGTGTAAATGCTGTTCAGTTAACAGCAAAGTGGAATATTCTATAGTCCATGAATAAAATATTGTATTTAACAGCATCACTGAAAAATATTTAGGTGAATGGGAAAATGGGGGGGGGGTGTTTAAAATAATTCAGAATTTAATTTACTTAAATTTAGAGTATGCCATCATTTTGAAATTAAAATTTGAGATATTTAATTTAAAAGGAACTGATCAGAGCTATTTTGCATCAAATATATTCATGTTGAATATATTTTCCTTTCATCTTACGAGATGCAGCGTAAATGCTCAAACCAGGATAAATCCAGAATAACTCCACTTTATTGGTGTTAGCCCAGTTTTACTGAAAATAGAGAGTTCTCTCTTCCCACTTCTTTTCTTTTTTTTATATTGCTTTTTTCCATGGTTGTATTGCCATTTTCCATGTAAGAGCTTTCATGTAATGACACGTGATGGAAAAGAAAAAGAAAATTTGTGAACCTGCAGATCTTTCTTTTCCCCCTCATTGCAAGATTTGGGGATTGGGGTTTTTGGAGCTCAGTGGGATGGAGGGAAAGGTTTCCATGAGGAAATGGAGCTCAGTGAGAAGGAAGGAAAGGTTTCCATGAGGAAATGGAGCTCAGAGCAATGGAAGGAAAGGTTTCCATGAGGAAATGGAGCTCAGTGGGAAGGAAGGAAAGGTTTCCATGAGGAAATGGAGCTCAGAGCAATGGAAGGAAAGGTTTCCATGAGGAAATGGAGCTCAGAGCAATGGAAGGAAAGGTTTCCATGAGGAAATGGAGCTCAGTGGGAAGGAAGGAAAGGTTTCCATGAGGAAATGGAGCTCAGAGCAATGGAAGGAAAGGTTTCCATGAGGAAATGGCTCCGTGCTCTGCTGTGAGACCACAGCACACAGAGAGGTTTGCACTCAGGCCCAGCTGGGCTCCTTGCCCTCTGCACCTGCCAGCAGCAGCTTGGTTTGATTTCAAGACTAAATCAATTTGTGGTCAGTTTATAATGTGCAAACAACAGTAAATAGGGGTTTTTTTTTGTTCTGCTCTCTGGTTGGGCCAAATACAAAATAACACATTGGGAAGAGAAGTTAAATTCTACAAAAGGGTTTGGTTTTTTTGTTAGTTACAATGATCACTGTAGGAATTCAGCTTTTCTTATTTCCTGGATCATTGAGAGGGGAGAGAACATTTGTTAAACAACCCAAGACTTCATCTGACACACAAGTGCTGCATCCCTTATGAAACAGAATCTGTGCTCTATTATTTTCTCTCCTCCAAATTAGATTAGAACAGATGCCATCCCTTCCCTGTGCACTTCAGTGCCAGCAAAAGTAAGTCTCTACTCACTTATGTAAGCCTGGTGTCCTCACTTTTCATCTCAGTGTTAAAATTCCTGTATTTTGCACAAGTTACATTAAATATGCTCCCAGTTGTGAATTAGGACCCAAACGCAGAATTTCCCAATTTTCTGCTTCGTTTGAGTATCACCACTGAAGTACAAATTCAAATCTTGCTTTGATCTACCTAAAAGATGGGAACTCCAGTTTGTAAGGCAGCTGTCATTTGGCTCTTGTGGTTATTGCACAGGATCCATCACAAGAACGTGTGCTTTACTGGGGGGGTTTTAAATATTCTGTAGATTCAGGTTTTTCCTAATTGTAATTTTCAACTTATCTCAGTCATCCTTCAGTAAAAAAATACATGTGATACACATGAAATGGCAGCTTTGAACTTCCAGCATGTTTCCCTTGATAAAATTGGATAGTTCCTTGTGTGACTGCACACAAACATGTCTTTTCTTTTTAATGAACCATGGTGGAAAGTTTTTCTCTTTAATGGCTTCGTGGCCAGGGATGTTTTAGATAAGTTCTGGGGCTATTGAGAATGAACTTCTTTGGCCTGCTGAACTCTACCACCAGTGGATTCACTGGTACAGAGTGACAGTGACTCCAAGCTTTGCTCATTTCCTGGGAAATTTCCTCCCTATTTTACGTTTCAATGCCACATTTGACTTTCTCACTCAGACAATAAAATGTCTTGTCAGCCAAGCTACTGTTTCAGCAAAGCATTTCCCTTTGAAGAATGTGCAGGGTTTTTTTTTTTTACAGGTTATTTTTTTCATATTAGCAATGACAAAAGTGAACCCGGGGCTACTCCTTGATTTTTATTTTCCAGGGTTTATTATTATATTTACAGTTCCCTGTAAGAAGACACAACCCTTTCCCAGTAAGAGTTCTAATTCCTTTCTATGTTTCAAATACTAACGACCCATATGGAAAGGAGGAAGATAACCAGCAATGAAGGAGGTATCTCTGGGGGCTGAAGCAGATGAATAAAAAACTCAAATCATTATAAATATTACTGTACTACACTTTGGTACAACCAAAAAAAAAAAAAAAAAAAAAAAACCCTTCAAAGAAAATATTTAATGTTCCCTAAGTCAAATAAAATTCACAAACAATATAAGAAGAAATTAACCACATGGGGGTTTTTATATCTGTAAAAAATAATAAGACTACTTGGCTGCATTGCACACAGGCAATAAAATGAGATTCATTCCGATCCCTTTTTCCGTGAGCCTCCTCTCAGGCTGTAAGCAAGAAATGTCCACTGTGCTTTACAAAGGACGACGACTAGAAAAAATCAATGCAAACAAACATCCCTTTCTTTTCTGATTTACCATTTATCATGAGAGATGGCAAACAAATGAAGTCTCCTGTGAGCCGGAGCGCAGTTGGATTAGCATTTTGCTAGTACCAGGCAGTATACAAAAAACAGCCATCGTGTGTGTGACACCTCCAACACCTACAGGGAGCTGTTTTAGGGGCACATCCTGGTTTGTGGTGAAACAGGATTAACTCAGCCAGCCTCTTGGACCTGCTCTCTGATATCAGGTTATCATCTCAGTACCTCCAGGGTTGGACTGTCTTGTTCCTATTGCTGACTGGACTGACTGCTCCACCATCCATAAACAGAAGGCATAAAGGTGATTACAAACATAAGAAAGTAGTTTTACATATTGTCTTGCAGTCTTTCCATATAGTCCCTAAGTTCCTTGGAATCACCAAGATTCATATCTTGGCATACCCATTTAATATTATCATCACTGTCAAATAGAATTGAGTTGGTGTAGGGGCCTCCATCCTCCGGCAGTATTGTTGTGTATGAAGTGAACTTTACTCGCTTCTGCTTTGGCCCAGAAGGATTTATAGGTTCACTTTTAACTTCTTTTTCACAAAGGTACTCAGAAGATCTGAGGATATGATTATGAAGAGTCTTCTGAGAACTCCCATTAAGGAGAAAATTGCTTTCTTCAAACTGCATCCCTCTGTCAATCATGGTAGTGCACTCCTCCGACGGGAGCGAAATGTCCACTGGGTTTTCCAGGAGCTCCACCTCATTTCCAAGCCAGACCCAGTCATGGGAATGGGGGATGTTGCCTTGCTCACTCACAGCAAACCTTTTGTGCCTGTACTTCCAAGCAAATGCCACGCAGTTAATCAAAAAGACCAAGATTGCTAAGCAGAAAACACAGAGCAGCGCGTACATGCCGATCTCCAGGTCTGTCAATCCCCTGGAAGTCAATGAGAGATCGCTGGGATTGTTTTCTCCTGGAATTTCTACTTGGGTAGGGAAACCTGTGAAGGCAGTTGGGTTGTTTTGAAGCTGCCCATCCTCCAGGGACTCCTGATCAACGGGAGATATGAAAGTTGTGCTTTTGTTTGCATTGTCCTCAGGACCGGACACGTCCTCGTGGTTTTTGGACCAGTCTTGTGCTGTCCTCTCTTGTTCTGCAGCTTTCTCTATAGCGTTGCCTGCATGGCTTTTAAAATCTTTCTCCAGGTCATCAATGTCGTTGCTGCTCCCTTTTTGGTCCAAATCTTTCTGGCCAAACTTCACCTTGACGTTTCCTTTCCCGACAGCCAGGACGCTCTTGCGCTTGGTTTTCTGGCAGGTCTCACTGATGACCATCTCGATTTTAATCAGAGGCCCCTGCCCGTCCCCTTCGGCCACCACGACGGGCCAGAGGGACTGAAGGCTCTGCTGTGACGACACCACCATCTCATCCAGGGACGTGATGGAGATGGAGAAGTCCTTGGAGTCGTAGATGTCCAAGGGCGTCACCGACCCGTCGCTGAACAAAACCCAGGCACTCACCACGGCCTCCTGGAGAGGATGAGGGGAAGAAAACACGAGAGAGAGAGAGCACAAATCAGACACTGTTGTTAAACTCTGGAAAAAAACTCTGAGTTTTGCTTTGGGGTCTCTTTTTGGTTTGTATTTTTTGAAGAAAATGGAAATGTCTACTCCTCATTTTCTTGCAGGCTTGTGTTCTCTAGACCATTGAGGCATTTACCTCACCTTCAGGAACTATCAAAGAAACACTCAGATAAATTTAATCAAAATGCTGGAAAAAACAACTGATGATTCTTTTTTCTCAGTCTGAAGTGAGAAGCCTCTTTTGAATGCCAGAACCTCATGATGAAAATAATCATATTTCCAGCATCACGGTCAATTAGGTTTATAAAGGACTTTTTTCCCCAATTCTTTTGGAGAATTCCTCTAATGCTGCAGTTTCAGTGCTGTATGTAATAGAAAGAGCAGAGCTGGAATGTGTCAGGCCAGTGAGCCCATCCAGCCCATGGAACAAACTGGGAGGAGAACACATCTCAGTGCAGCATTTTGTCTTTTCTGTCACGCTTTCAAATATTCTGGACTTGCAATAGGCAAAAGGGATTGTGGTCTTTCCTGGGAACTATAGCAACAGTCATAAAAAACACAATTCTTATGTTTTGACCAAACCAATTTGTCTTCTTACTGCGAATTGCTAGTGCAAAAAATATAGTTACACTTTTGTGCACTGATGTAGGACCTCAAGTCTATACAATCTATTAAAAAACCACACACAGAATTCACTCTGTGGTCTCATTAAAAGCTGTTTAATTCCTCAGACTATAAGGTTCAAAGTAAGCACAAATTCATCAGTTTTCAGCAAAAAAAAAAAAAAAAAAAGTTGTGAAAAACTTCTGCACCTGCAGCCAGAGGTGGTTTTGGCTGAGCTGACTTTGTGAGATAATTAAGGAACTGCATTCCCAGCTCTGCTTGCCCAGCCTGGCTGTATTTTCCCCCAGCAAAAGTGGTTTTTGTGGCACATCCATGTTTTGTTTGGCACTGTGCACTCCCAGACACGTCCATCCCTGTCCCTGTGCTGTGCAGGTCCCCAGAGAGATTAAAGGTGTGATTAAAGCCCTGTGAAGGGCTCTGGGCACCGTGGGGTTGGTCAGGAAAATGAACTTTACTACGAGAAGTGACTGCTTTTCACAGCCACATGGTCATTATAGCTGCTGCCTAAAATTTACAGCAAATGACTCTGGCAGAGCAGAGGGAACACATCAATAATTTGGTGTATTCTTTTGTACCTGTTTGGGGGTGCGCAGGATGTCGTGGGCAGAGGTGGTAGCAACGAGGGCTCTCTTATTTCCTTTGCTGGTTTGGAAGGACACAGACAAGCCTGACACCAGCTGCACCCCCAGGTCTGTGATGGTCACCCGGTCATCCAGAACAATCACTGTCTTCTCTGCCAGGATGGAGTCCGAGAGAGGGGACAGAACCTGGGAAGAGAAAGGAAACCCCTTGTGTGAAACAGCCATGAAGTATTTCAGAGCAAGGCTGGCCTCTAACCAGCACTCCAGATTAATCCTGGGTTTGTCACATCCGTGTCCAGGCCAGAGCTGATGTTTCCCCTGAAATATTTCACTCCTTTGCTGCTAAATTATCTAGCAGAATAATTTAATGAAACAAGAAATCACTCCAAAATTGCAGCTTGATCTTGACAAAATATATATCATATAGAATAAATTAAAGGGATTTGTTGGTGTTTTAAGACATTTTTGTGGGGTCTATAAAACTGCCTGTGAATGCAGTGCAGCACAGGACAGAGTGTAAGACACTGATTAACACTGGAACTCAGGGAGGGATAAATAAGTGTTCAAAGCCTGGCTGATAGGAACTTGGCCTGTTGCCTTTCTAGGGACAGAGGACCTGAATGAAATGAAAGTGAGGCTTGCAAAAGAACTTTGAAAATCCCACTGGGTGCCTGCCTGCATTTGTCAATGCCAAAACACTCCTGCCAGTTGCTCTGAGACCTTGTTTCCAGCGTGCTCAGAAAGAGACTCATCTTTATCCTGGTGACAGAAACAGCTGGTTTGAGCCCAAAATACTGGAGGTGTGATTTGTCTAAAGCAACAGGAGAAACCTGCAGCACATCTCCCTGCACTGGAGCTTCCTGCTCTTCTAGAAAGAGACATTTGAAGGGCAGAAATCCCTTGACCTTTCTATCCCATTTATTTCAGGTTGAAGGGAGCTGAGCCCTAAATTCCCTGTCTGTGTTGACTCCAGAGTGTGACCAGAACATTACAGGTGTTTGTAGGCCCTGAGAAGAGCCCAGAGCTTCTATTCCTTTATTTTGATTAAGGAAGGTGCATGAATTTGGACACAGAGTTGGGTGGGAACACAAACACTATGAAAGGCATCTGAAGATTACTGTTGTGCCCATGGTTTGTGATCGATTTTGGCAACATAAAAAGAATAATTTTATGTTTCTCAGAAAGAATTTAGCCTTTTTAAAGGCTAAACTAACCAATCATGTAAAGGTGCATGGAGATACTTGGTACAATTTCCCAACAGTTATGTTCCTATGGTCCCACTGAAGTTAAAAGGAGCTGCCTGTGTGCCTCTTGTCACCTCTTTCCCCAGCCAGAGAAACCTCCCTGTGTTCCAGTCACACCAAGATGGATAAATCCCTTCAAAAGCTTCACCTAAGGGCATTTTGTGGAAGTGACAAATAGCCACAACGAAAACCCATCCAAACTTCCTTTTCTCTTTAGCATGGCCATTTTTTCAGCTTGGTTTTCTTTCTGAGATCAGTGAATTTTGTCCAGGGTGTGTGTGAGGCGTACCTGCACCGTGGTGATGCCCTGCTCACGCCCAGCCAGCACTCGGCCCTCCTGCAGCCTGGCAACCTTGGGCTCTTCCACCTTCATGAAATCGGCCACCAGGTCGGTGATGTCGAACTGCCACTCCGAGCCCAGCAGGTAGCTCAGCTGGCCCCCAAACTCCGAGGATTCGGCCACAAACTGGGTCAGGACCCTCACCAAGGCGTGCTGGTACTGCAGGGTGCAGCCCTTGCCTTTCTTCTCGTCATCCTCCTCATCCTCGCTGTCGCGGGTGGGCCTGTGAACACATCCAGCTTTGTTACTGCTCCAGCTGCACCTCGCTCCCATCACTGAGGGGATGTGAGACAGGAAAGCAGGGCTTGGGTGGGCAGCTGAGGAAATCCTGCTGGAGCTTTGTGCAGCTTTTTGTGCCATTTCGAAGCTGCCATCGCTTCCTGCAGCGTGTCCTTTGTCTGTGTGGGCCCTCCCAGCAGCGTGCAGATGTGTTTCTGTCATTGCTGGATGGAGTGGAGCCCCTGCCCCTTCTCCAGGCAGCAGGGAAATAGTGCAGAGGGCTCAGGAAATGTTTAGGAGAGAGCAGCTGTGGAACAAAGCCCTGTGGCAGCTCATCAGGGGTGGGAGAAGATGTTTACCATCCTTTAACATTTGTATTTCCGTGCTTTTCCCTCCTGTAGCAGCTCAGGCTCTCCCTGCTGAGGCAGAGCCCCCACCTGGTGCCCATCCCTGCTGTGCTTTGTTGATTCCTCTGCTTTTGAGAACACACCTTGACTCCACCTCACATCTCACACGGCTCATGCCCTGACCTCAGGTGCCTTCCGAAAACCCAGATTGGGCATTCAGGCTCCCACTCAGGGCAGGCTGCTCAGATTTCACCCTGCAGAAACACCTGCAGCATCAGACACACTTCCTTCAACATTTTCTATCTGTCCCCCTCCCAAAATAAAGCCTGTGAAATAAAACAGCTTTTCCTACAGCCCAGAGAAGGCATCACAGTGATTTGTACGTGATAGCTCTGCTGTCACACCTCCCGGAGTTTGTCTGCTTAAAGGCCCAGTTTACCACCAATATTATTATTCTTTTTCTCTTGTTTATTGCCCAGGACAAACACATGGATCCTCTTATCTCTTCCAAGTCGGGTATTAAGCAGTGGGTGGTCACACTTTTACTCATTGTGCCCCCATGCTGTGGATTCATTGCTCAGAAATAATTTCCCTCCCTCCTGTATTTATTGAGCCTGAAGCCACCTCTACATCAAGGGTGGGAAATACAGGGTAACTCTCATTTTTCAAAGTATTGCAGGAGGTAGTTTTGTGGTTACTGTGTCCCTTTACCTTCTCCTTTGAAACAGCAGCTATGAAAAACTATTATAAAACAGAATTGTTTTTGTTATAAATTGTTTTATGACAAAGTTGGCAGCCAGTAAGCTGAAAACATATCTAAGAAAAACCCTTGTGCTCTTCAAAATGACTGAGTTACAGAACCTAATCCACTGGAAATGCATTTTCAATGCATCACCTGTTAGCTGAATATTGACATTCAGCCTCAAGTAAAGGTCTGTGGTACCTTTTGGTTTTGTGTGTGTAAAACAAGTGTCCATCATTACCTGCTGAATGAAACATCGTTGAATAACTGGAATTGTTAGGGAAAAGGCTACTAAAATAGGATTTCAATTCCCCAAAGAAATTAGTCTTACAGAGTCTGACTAGCTGGGTATTTCAGGGAAACTTTCATTTCTCTCCTTCCCAATGTTGGTGGCAGTCTGAAGTCAGCTCAGTTGGCAAAATGACCACAAAGAAAGTTCTAGAAGGGAGAATATTCATGAAGCTTTTGTGCTCCACAGCCATCTGTGCTGTAAAGGAATTCATGAACTCCTTCATGTTCCCACTTTCAATTTATTCCTGTGTTCTGACCCTCTTCAACTCAGCTAAACCACATCCCAGCTCTGAACAATCTCAGACTTTGGCAAAACCAAGTTCAGCTCTGAGATTTTGGGATTTTCCCCTCTCTTTATAACACAGACAGTAACATTAGTGCCTGTGCAGAATTGGAGCAAAATGTGCAAAAGCTGTTCAGGTAAGGGGTACTTATGGGATTTGGGGCAAAAGAGCAGGGAACTGATGGGATCCAGCCTTGGAATGGGAAAAGAGACCCAAAACCCGAGCTGTGGCTGCAGGAAATGTTCCCACATTCAATATCCACAAAGCATCATTTCCACAACTCCCTTTCTGTCCCTCTCACACAACCTGATGTTTGTCCCTGCCCAGGGCAGGGGCAGGAACAAGATAATCTTTAAGGTCTCTTTCAACCCAAACCATTCTGTGATTTGATGTTTTATTCAGATCCAAGGAGTTGCTGTTATATTTATTTATGTGCTTGTTTATTTCTACTTTCGCTGTTTAAAACTTTGCCCCGCTGGATTGTCCAAGAGGAAATCCATTCAAAACAACTGGAGGGAATTCTTTTTCAGCCCCAGCTCATAAATATGAGCTGAGGAATGACCAGAGGGAAGGATTGTTTCACAGGAGCAGAGAGGGAGCACTCCTGTTCTTATTTCCAGGACCAGGACGGTGTGGGCAGCCTGTATTTACCACAACAAAAAGATGATTCAAGTCCAGTCCATTCCTTGGGGTATCTTAAATGCAAAGGCTCCATCTCAGCACAAAAACACTTAGAGATGTTTATGTACTTCTCCTCAGAAACATGTTTTCTATGGCAAACAAATGTGGAGCATCACAAAAGCCTCTCCAAAGCCCAGAACGAGCAAGGCACGTTCATTGTCAGTGCAGAGGAGAGGGAGGTGTCTGAATTTTCAGTACAAGCTTGCAAATCTGCTTTGCCAGGTCTCAATTCAAGTTCTTTCTGGTTTTTTGTTCGGTTGGTTTTGGGTTTTTTGATCTGTTTTTTTTTTTAAAGGATATAATTTTTCCACTTTAAAGCCGCAAAATCAAGATTTAGGCAGTAAGCCAGTGTTTTGTCTCCATGCATGCAACAAAATGTTTGGGATCCAGTGAATTGCAGCTCCCTTTAAACTCCTCATTAGTGTTTTCAGTGAGCTTAAAATCCTTCATTAAGCAGGGAGCTCATTTTCTGCTTAAGACAGGTCCTGCTGAATATAAGCTATTGCTGCATATTGTGCTTTTTTCCCCTTGGTCATCTCTGAAAATCTCTGAGTTCATCTTACCCTATTTCTTGCTGCTTGGCAAACTTGCTTGGAAGGTTTGATGCTTTTCTGGAGCGAGCCAAGGTTGCCAGAATTCCATTTAATTTACATTTCACAGAGAGAGAGGCTGTGCCAGGGAGCTGAGTTAAAGCAGCAGCCTGTTCCAAGGGTGCCTGCGAGCACTGATCTCATCAGTGATCTGTCAGCTCCACATTACAGACATTGTCTCTGAGCACTTGAAGTGTGTCTCTTTTCATCTGCACCCCTCTCTAAACAGCCATCACCTTCTTGGGCCAGATGCTAGCTTGCTGTTAAAAAAAAAACCCAACCCTTAAGAAATCGGTTTTGCTGGGTTTGGATTTGAAATACTCATTGCAAAGAGTTTATATTTATATTTATATTTATATTTATATTTATATTTATATTTATATTTATATTTATATTTATATTTATATTTATATTTATATAACATTTGCAACACCCCTAATTGAAAAAAAGAAATCTCTCTGGGATACAAATTACAAAGCACTAGAAGTTGATTTAGTGGAAGCTACAGAAATAAGCTGCACAGAACTCCACTCACAGTTCAAGAAGAAATGTAATTTGGTGCTTTTACAGATCTTGAAAATACAGCCTACCTATTAACAAAAATCTCCAAGGCCTTTTCTCCATAGGACATTAAAGTCAATTAACTAAAGGAGCAAATTTACAGCGTGTTCCAGCTCTGTGCAGATGCTGTTACCCACAAATGGAATGGTTTCAATCCAGTGTCACTTAATTTGCCCTAAAGCACAGCTTTACCTCTGAGGGCCAGCACTCACTGAGGGTTTAGCCAAAGCAGTTTATTTTGTCCTGCTTTTAACTCAGGCCAACTTTGCTGCTTTTGTCTCCAGAACTGGACAGGAGAGAGCTGCTCAAAGCCCAACAAACTCTGCCTGAAGTGAAAGCCGTGCTGCTGGTGTTGGGAGCCTCCTGAAAACAATATCCTATCCCAGCTGCAAATATTTACTGAAATTAAATTTCCAGTTTGTTCTGGGAGACTTTAGCCATGCAATTCCTATTAATGCAAGCTGAAGCCACTCATGCCATGTAAATATGTGTGCACAGAGCTGGTGCAGGAACCTCAAGAAGAAGGTAATTATTTTGCAGATGCACGAGGAATAGAAATAAATGTTCTTGTTAGACTAGCAGAGTCTGCCTGGACCTCTTCTACACTCTAATATTTGACTTTAATTTAAATATACACCTACTGTTTGCTGGGGCTGGGGGTTTGTACAGCCCGTGCTGCCTCAGCCACGACTTTTCCCTGCACCAGGAGATGATTGTGGAGCTGAATTTCACCTGCCCAGGGAGGCTCTTCCTATCTGCAGCAGCACTCACCAGAGATCAAGTTCTCCACTTGATAATATTAAAGATTTGCCATATACTGCAGGCTGATCTGGTAAATTGCATTGCTGCTTTTACACTGGGGAGATAAATGGGGTTTTTTTTCCAGTTTCTGGCACAAGAGCAGCCTGTCTTTTCCCTTCTGTTCTCCAACAAGTTCCTGCCCTTGCAGCAGCTCAGACCAGCTAAAAACCAACACAGCTCAAACTGTGCATGGAGCGTTTGTAAAAGTCTTGTAAAGACCCTGTTTTCTTCATTGCTTTTTGGAATTTATTCAAGAAGTCAGATAGGCAGAGATGTCTGTAATCACACGTATTTTACAATTACAAACATAACGGGGTTTATAGGGAGAAGCAAACATTTCACCAACAGCCACCTCTGGAAAGAACAGCTGGGATCTGGGATATAAACTCCTCCTCAGGTCTGACACAGAGCTGCATTCAGATGAAGAGCAGCTATGCTGATGCACAAACATTTCTTTTGTTAACAGCACCAATAAAAACGTTTAAAAGATCATTGTAAGCCCAGTTCTCTTTTGCCATCTGGCTCAGCCCCTCAGACACGCTGTGGCTGTGGGAATGAGGCCTGGGGCAGCCAAGGAGATGAAAGGAACTCTGGAGGTTGCTCAAGTGTCTCTGCACAATCCCTGTAAAAATAATCCAACATTTTACCTGCTGTATATTGAGGAATAACTTTATGGCAATGTTTGGTTCCTGCTGAGAAGACAAGGAGTGGTGTGAGGACACCAGCCCTGCAGGACAGGAGGAAAGTGGAAAATTATTTTGTTTTTGGTGAGGTGAGAGAAGCCACACTGCAGTCCTGCCATGACCAGAACACTGACACAGCTCCAGCTGATTTTTGGGCTAAGTTTAAGGTGCCTAAGCCTGTTGTCAGTGACTTTGGAAAGAGTTCTTCAGTTTCCTTCAAGGACAAATATCAAAAACCTCATGCAAATTGCCAATATTGGCTCTTACATGAAGGTGAAGTTGAAACAACACAATGCTATGGCTTCACCTGCTGGGAAATGCTTGGATTTGGGGTTTTTACAAAGATAAAAGCACCCTGCTCACTCTCAAACCTACAGCTCCTGACTGCAGTCCAAATGTCTTGAGTGCTTCAGCTTATCACTTCAAAACTCATAAAAACTCCCCCATGTTTAGGATTTTGGGAAACACATAGGAGGTGGAGGTATAAGCAGATTAAAAAGTAAAGAGAAAAGTCATAATAATAAAAAAGAACCAAAATGAAAAGCCACTAAATCTCAGGTTAAAACCATCCAAATCTAAAAATAAAGGAAATGTAAAAACCTTATGTGCAAAGTAAATGTCAGAGTGAGCACAACTAATGCTGGCTCTGAGCTATTGATTGAGAATAGCCCTGCAAAGTTAAAAAGCCCACATGAATGGTCAATAAAACAAGAGATCATTTCTTTCCCCTTGAAACCTTTGCTGTTCACGTGGGCACGGACCTTGCAGGGGTGTCCACACTTTCCCTGCTCCATGGAAGATGCTGGCAGGATCTGTGCCAGCAGCTCCAGGGCAATCCAAGCAGCAGCAAATGCTTTGCACCAAAACCCTGCAAAGCTTGCCAGCTTGCAAGCAGAGCAGACTCTCAGAGCATTCCCTTTATTTCAGCTGGCCAAATAAATCAGGAGACACCAAGGGGGGAAATTTCCAGCGCTGCCTGTAGCGGGTTTGAGAATGCCCAGGACTGCTAAGCATGGCTCAATGTCTGCTCCTGCAATAAACACCAGCCTAATCCTGCAGCTGTTTGCTCAGCAAAAACCCCCTGCTTTTAGCAGGATCTGTGCCTCAGGGGTGGGACAGCACAGGCAGGAGGAGGGAGCTTCAGTGAAGATTTCAGCAGTCAGCTTCAATCCGTTCATTCCTCACCTAGCGCAGCTCTCCCTGCCTCAAACAGCAGTGTTGCCTTTGCCCCTGAAGCAAACACTCTGATTTCTCACCACCTCTTCTGTCACAGCCAAAAAAATACCCACAGAACCAAGAGGTCAGTCACTGCCCTTCTCTGGAGCTCATTATCTGGCTGTCCTGCAAATTGGGTCCTGTTCTCCTACCCAGTTCTGTGCCCTTATGAAGTGCTGGGTAATTCTCCTCCACTGCTGTCTGGGCTCTCCAGGCCCTGCAGCAGCTGAGATGTTCTCCTGGGCACTGGAGAGCTTCACCTGGAGCTGCCACAGTGTTCAGCACCCCTCTTGCTGCTGCCAGCAAGGCTTTTTCACCAGGTTATAAATCCCAGCTGGTGGCACGCCTTTTCCCCACTAATATTTCTCAACTTCGCCTGAAATCCTCCAAGAGAGCAGCGCTCCTGGAAGTTCTTAATCCTGCAAATGGGGTAAATGATGGTTATTACAGAATGGGCATTTTCAGTAGGGAATGGTGGGATCAGAGCTCAAAATCCCCACTCTCTTCCCCATCTTCTTCATGGAATCACAGAAGGTTTGGGCTGGAAGAGACCCGGACTGGCCACCTGCCCAAGACAGGCAGTGACACCTGGACCCTTCCTGGGCCCTGCTGTTTGTCACAGCAGACAGGATTGAGGTCTGGCAGTGCTGAATCTCTCTCACACACACACACAGGGCTGTGTTACACCAACAGGAGAGGCCCAGCTCCTTTTCCTCAGCTCTGCACATGGGAATGTGTGACACAACATCCTGAGGTTGTGTGGAATTGATTCATGCTCCAGGCAAAGCCACTGAATTTAAGCTGTATAGATCAGGATAGAATGCAGTGATTGTTGGATGCTTTAATGAAGGCTGAGGCAGGCTGTAAAGCTAATGGCAAACAGGAGAGTTTAGATCCTGAGGAATGCTCTAAAAATGGCTGTCTAAAAGCAGAGCCCTGGGCAGGTGTGCTGTGAACATACCTTTTGTTGGAGGTGACAGGAATCCTCCAGCCTTTGATCTGGCTGAGCTCTGTGTCAGAGATCTCAATCTGCAGCGGGAGCCTGGGAAGCCAGACCGTCACTTCCAGCTGGGTGGTAAAATGCTGGTAAGTGAAGTTAACAATCGTATCCACTTTGCTCTTCATTTCCTTGCCATTAACGAAGATGGAGTCACAGCTGTCAGAAACCTTCAAAAAATATAAAAAGAATTAGGAAATGAATAAAAGTTCCTGGGGAAGAACAAGGATGATACATCAGTCCTAAGACAACACTGCAAATGTAAGTCATGCATATTGCATTTTCAGTTCTCTAATTAGAAGCAAACAGTGATAAATGGACCCCAGGGAAAGAGTTGTGCTTTCCTCAAAGGATACTACTCAAACTACAAAAATAATTTAATGATGTTATATAACCTGGGTGAATCTTTTATATTAGGCAAATTAAACTCTTCATGAATCAAATTCCATGTGCATCAACGTTTATGTTTACAACTTGCTTAAAGAACCAGGAAAAAATGGGGCCATATGTTAGTAAGAAAAAGTCTGACTCAGAACCATAAACCAGAATCCTTTCCCTTTTCCTTGAGACAAAGATCCCCTTATGGCTCATGAGCAGAAGTGCAGCTGAAGCATTATTTTTTAGAACTTCTCAGTAATTGTTTTAACAAAATGCATTCAGTGTTGCTTCGTGGCATTCCATGAAATCACTGCTAAAATGAGCTGTGTACTACAGCTCATCTTCCCTCTGGGTTCCTTCTGGCACAAAACCCAGGTCCTGAGCACAGATCTTATTTATATAAAACCATGATATAGCAGCTAATTCCATCTGCATGCTGGAAGACAGGACTCTTTTGTCAGGAAGGGGTTCCTGACATATTTCTATGTGTGTGTAGAGTTTTAGATTTCACAGACAAATCCACAGCAATGCATAACATTCATGTCCAGTATTTGTGTTTGTGCACATGTATAACGTGAGTTCTACACCTGCACACTGCAGGTTTTTGCTCTGTGTCTGGTTCTTTGAAGACAGGGAGGTGTAGAGAGCCCATGAAGAGTGGTTTCCACCGTCTGAAGCCACAGCTGGTGCCGTGTGGTTGTGTTGCTGAAATGCACTTTGTTCTCCTGTCAGGGCTGCTCTGTGTCACTCGGATCCAGGGGGATCCTGCCTGAGCCCGTGTTTCACTTCTGGTTTCCTGGAATTACTGAGATAACTCGTGTAGGCTTCAGTGGGGAATATGCTGAAACACGGGTTGAGTTCCCTCTGCAAACCTACCTCAAATCTTTTCAGATATTAACAGGGATTAGGGGTTACTGAGCCAAGAAAAATTAGAGAAAAATCTGGAAGATGCTTTGTTTTGCTCAAAAAAATATGCAATATTCAGATATGAAGTAAAAGGTCTGTCCTTCCATATTTACCATTTTCAAGTCAGCTTTTCAGATCCTTCTCAATGTTCTGAAAGTACAGCTGCTGATTTACACAGGGGCTAATCCAGGTGATGAGGGATGGGGCAAAGGAAACTAAGTCACTCTTCTGGAGAGAACATTCCCTCCACATAAATGCTTAATGAGCAGAAGAATATAAAAATAATAAATCTAGATAATCTGATAAAGAGCTTAAAATGGACTTCAGGCTCAGGAGTACCACAAATGATTTGGAGCAAACTCGGAATCTTTTTTTCCCTCCCCCATAATGTGTCACGAGTGTCTCTGGAAAGTTTAAGCACATTAAGCAAGCCCATTAATTGAATGAGCACTTGAGATTCTAAACCATAAAGCTTACATCTTGGGAGTTATGTGAGAATTAATACAAGACAGAAATAATTAAGAAAACTCAAAGAGGGAGGGATAAACATCAAGGCCGGATCAGGGGAATAACTAATATCTGACAAGACAGCAGCTAATTTTTCAGATTCTCTTCTTGCTGCATCAAATGTTCTTGTCAGCAGGCAAGAAAGGTGCTAAATTAGGGAACTGAAAGATGGACATTAATTGTAGCTATAAAAATATCAGTCTGGGCTTACAAATTCCACAGATTTTATGTCTAGACAGAGACATCCAGTCATTTATAGACTGACCAAAAGGTAAGTACAGAGCAGGATATATAACCATGTGTAGTTCACCCAGTGTTCTTGTGTAGCGTTCAGGATTCACTGAAGTGTATCTTCCAGAAAATAATCCTGCCTGGATAAGAAAACTTGAAGAGAGCCACTGTTGTTTCAGTTCTCTATCTGGAATTTGAGTTTACTCTATTAAGTACAAGCATACCAGGTACTTCAAAGGAAAATCCAGCTGAATCCTGTGATAAAGCAGGATAAAGCTCACATGAGGAAGCCTCTGTTTCACTCCCACATATTTAATTACTGCCAGGTTTCTTTCACTAACCTCACTAGAGCAGGTGTTAGAAAGTAGACTTGGCTCATCTGAAGGAAATGAGAAGCTTGAGCATGGACAGAAAATGTCCAGCGCTCCTTTTTCACCTGGGACCCCTTCAGACCCAGGACAAAGATGTGATTCCATCCTGGGAGCTGGGATTCCAGGCCAGCAGCACCGTGATGCTGAGGAGGGAATGAAATCACCTCGGGCCCTGGGGACTCTGTGGCCTGCAGCAAGGTCCCCCTGCACCTCCTCTGCTTTGGAGTGCCCTGCACACCTCCCCAGGCACAGCCTGGCTGCCAGAGGGGCTGGAGATGCTGCTGGGGAGGAGCTGCTCCCATGGAACGGGCAGGGTTTGCCAAGGGCTGCCTGAGCAGGTGACTTCACACAGAATTCTTTTGAGCTGCTGCTGCTTTTGAGGGAACAAAGAGGGAAAAGGCTCTTAAATCTCTCCTGCAAACATTACACAGCGAGAAGAATCAGCAAAAGCTTGGAATGCCACCCTCTCATGTAAAATGCAGGGAGCAAGGCTGTTTAAAGCAGTCTGTCCCCATCCATTGTCAGCAGCACCAGAAAGTTCTGTTTGACACAGTTTGCAGGGGAGCAGGCCAGCCACCGTGTGCTCACATATGCAGGTCAAGAGAAAGAGGCTGCAATTAACCTCTCTGGGCTTTGAAGCAGGTGGTTGGCTCCAAACCCCACAAGTAATTGTCAAAAAGCACAATTTGCCCTGTACAGTCTGTGACAGCCTCCTCACTTTAGGCTAATCCAGAACAGAGAAGATAGCAGTTGAGGAGGAGTAATTGTGAAACCATTTGATGTTCAGGTCACAAAGGTCTCTGCACCCTTTTGGGGGAGCAGGTAAAACACAGGGAATGTGAAGTGACAGGAAAACAACTGCTTGTGGCTCATCTCTGAGTGCAGGGTCTGCTCCCAAGCTCGTCCCTCACCCTCAGCTTCACTGCAAGGAGCCCTCCCAGGGGACAGGACAGTCACACTCCTCCTGGCTCTTTATTCTTCAGTTTTTTGGTCATGCTGAGACCCTGCTGGGCACAACCATTTGTGTCCACACTCTCTTGTGTGGGAGAGCAAGAGGCTTCAGCAGAGATCTGGCCACAGGGGAATCCATCTCCTGTCTCAGGGCCTTCCCAGCCCTCACCTCATCTCCAAGTTCATCCTTCTTCACCTTCAGGCCAACACTTGTCACTGATATTTACATACAGTTGTGTATGGACATGGATAATGAATTATAAAGGAAAACTCCTACCCAAAAGAATGAATTCTGTGTAATTCAGTGCAAAGCAACAGTGACTGAGAGGATGTGTGAGACCAAGCACAGTGCAAAGCTGTCCTGTGGCACTTTTCACCTGTGAATATTTGACACAAACCCCAATGGGATGGTGCTAATTTTACAGCCAATTTTAAAAAAAAAAATGAGGCATACACCCTGTGTATTAGAATTTGGTCTAACACAGAGCCTTTTCAGCTGAAAAACTCAGCCTTTGGTTATCCAGTCAGGTCCCCAGAGGATTTAAATTTGAAGTTCAAATTCACCCTTGAAAAGAGATGCTTGCTGCCAAAAGACCCTTCACCAGTGCTTCAGAAACACTGGATTTACAAGAGGAGGTTTTTGCTCAGTGTCAAGATCTCCTGGTCTTTAAAAACAGAGTTCAATGGGATGGGCGTGCAGACTCGAGTGTTGTAACCCTGATTCTCCTCACTCATTTCTCATTCCTTGCCTGCCTGAGCACAGGAGGCAGAGCCCAGAGCAGGGCTGGCTGCAGCCCTGCATGCCTTGCACAGCTGCCCATGCAGCAGAGCTCTGGAAGCTGCTGAGGAGCGCAGGGCAGGGCAGCAGAGCACAGCCCAGCCAAAGGGTGCAGGATATAAAGGCTCATTTTTGTGCCTGAGGCTGCAAAGAGAACAATTGTAACAAGATTATAGAGACTGGGGTGAGAGTGAGTGGCTCATTCTCATAATAATCTCACAGTGGTGATGTTGTGGTATTGCCTGAACTCTGCCTTTCCAACCTTTTCCATGGCATTGTTCCTGACATTGTTGTTACCACATTAGGAAGGACTAGCTGAGCTGTTTGCTGCTCCTCAAACCCTTTCACTGTGTGTTTACCTTCTGCCTCTTGCATCTTTTTAAATGGCTGCAGCATGGCAGGATCATACTTCTGTCTGCTTTGGGTAATTTTCTATTTTACTTTTATTGTTGCTATGTTTGCTTTAGAAATCACAGAAATCTCTGAAATCACTTCCTCAGCCAGAGGAATCTGGCCTAGGCTTTGAGTAATAGCTGGAGACAAAAAGAAGGATTATTCTTTACATCCTTTTATTTCTCCCTCTACCCAAGAGCTGCTTACCCCCACGCCTTCCTTGGCTCCTGTCCTCTTCTGCACCTGCAGACATTGCTGCAGCCTCTCCTAGACCAGCAAGGGGCAGAAAGATGTGCCTCATGTCTTGAGACAAAACAAACAAAGGCTATTCCCAAACCTTTTTCTGATAAAAAATGCTGGGTTTATTTTAAATTCAGAATACTGCCTGACAGCAGCCAATCTAATAAATGTCAGGCTTCTTGTTTTGGCTGCAGCTGTGTGTTATGTCATGACATGACAATTATCCAAGTGCACAGGATTCACCCATATTCGTGTGTTGAGTGATAAAATCAAAACTTTGCATCAGATTTTGTTACCCTTTTAAAACTAAAACAAATTGGTCATTCATTGCTTGAATTCCAGCTCTGCCCCTGCCCTGGCACCTCTGCCCATGCCCCTCACAAACCATACTGGACCTGGCCTCACAAGGATCTCT